AAAGGGGCGGGGTGGATGGCGGCCAAAGCAACAGTCAGGATGTGCTAAATTCCAACGAGTGAGCACTTTTGATACTCTTAACTTTCTGGCAGTCGTTAACTGACCCTCCACAGCGACGTAGACGATGACCTTAAGGAGTACAACCTAGAGCACTATGACGATGATGACCAGGATCAGGAAGAAGAAGGCGATACAATGGCCATGTTCGGTAATATAAAATCTTTGGTATACCACGCGTCAAACGCAGACGACCCGTACATCACAATGCAAGAACAGGATGAAGACGATGACGAACGGGACGAACTCCAAATCCTTGCGACAGATAATTTGCTATTAGCTGCCAGAATAGAAGACGATGTGGCGCATCTAGAGGTGTATGTGTACGAGGATGGAGCAGATAATTTGTATGTCCATCATGACATTATGTTACCCGCAATACCGTTAGCTGTTGAATGGTTAGATTTGCCAGTGGGCAAGGCTGGTGTTGACAAGGATGGAAAGGGCAGCTTTGTTGCGGTTGGGACGATGGACCCCGACATTGAGTTATGGGATCTCGATACTATCGACGGAATGTATCCAAACGCTATTCTTGGGCAGCATTCCGAGGACTCAGCGAAGGTAGAAAAAGCAAGAAAAAAAAAAAAGAAACTTCGGAAAGCTAATGATGACTATCACGTGGATTCTGTGCTCTCCCTGGCAGCAAATCGCCATCACCGCAACCTGCTTGCTTCCTCTTCAGCGGATAAGACTGTTAAGTTATGGGATCTTAATACCACGAAGTGCGCGAAATCATATTCATTTCATGCTGATAAAGCTTGTTCGTTGGCATGGCATCCAGAGGAATCTACAGTATTACTTAGCGGCAGTTATGATCGCACGGTGGTCGCTGCCGACATGCGAGCACCAGACGCGAGTTTACCGCGGTGGGGTGTTGAAAGCGATGTAGAAACTGTGAAATGGGATCCACATAATTCGAACTTTTTCTACGCAAGTACTACCGCCCCAGCAGATTTACATCTTACTGAGTAGGACTTCCAGGTTTCAACGGAGAACGGAATAGTCCACTACCACGATGCTCGCTTTGTACCCGCGAACCCATTAGGCTCCAAGCCCATTTGGACATTGCAAGCGCACGACGAGCCCATATCCTCATTTGATGTAAATCCAATTATACCGGGGTTCCTGGCAACGGGGTCCACCGACAAAGAAGTCAAATTATGGAACATCCAATCCAGTGGACCGAGCATGGTTGTGTCGCGAAATCTAGGTGTCGGCAAAGTTTTCTCGACTACGTTTGCTCCCGATCAAGAGGTAGGATTTAGGTTGGCCGTCGCTGGAAGTCAGGGCTCTGTGCAAATTTGGGACACGTCCACCAACTCCGCAGTACGAGCGGCGTTTGCAAACAAAATCTCACCAGTTCAAGGAGAAGTGAAAGAGCGTTTAGTAGGGCTGCAGGAAGATAGTAATGATTCCGATTCTGAGGAGGAACAGGGGGCTAATAGCAATGAAGATGCTGGACCAGATGGCTGGGAGTCAATGGAGGAGTAAGTTCGACCTTTGGATCAGAAGCAGCTCCTAGCATCATACCAAACGAATGCGATTTACACATGGTAATAGTTTTACTGAAAAAAGCCAGAAAGCAGAGTTTTTAAAAGCCATGGCTAATAACAGTGGATCAGTGTAATGGACAGGCGAAGTTTTGCTATGCTGCATCTAATATATCTAACATTTTAATAAGAAAGCGCCGACGCCTGCGTCGTTTTGTAATACCTTGCGCGTACCCTAGAGAGATAAAATTATGCATTCATTACACGCTAAACCCGGGCTGTCCTTGCGGTTACGTGAGTATGTGGAGCTAGCCGAACTGCCCCAGCATGGAGACGTTTTTAGGCCAAAGATAGGTTCTGAGATGTTTCGAAACAGATGACATGGAGGGTTGAGGAAACAGCAGCAAACGCAATTAGCAACGCTGTAACTAGATCTCCGAGCAGAAAGCATCAACGGAATATGCAGACTGTTAGGGAAAATTCCAACGGACACAACGCAGGCCAAATATATCTAAGGAGTAGCGCAAATGTATGACATAGCTAGAATAGAACGTCAGCTTCTCCCGCATCCTCTACACAGAGTCCGAAGGAAGGCTGAAGGTCACACTGGTCTGGAGCGTTCGTAATAAGGGTTTGGTCTCTCGCAGCCAAATATTCTTTTCATACGGATGGAAGATGGAATGGTTAATAGATCCATACGCAGTAAATGCAGGCGTGCGCGTCAACAGGACAAGTGCGGAGCGACATCTTGTACCGCCCACCATCTCCCAGCGACGCCGTTTCAATCCAGTTGAAACGACGGGATCTCTGCTCCCCTGGGCGCAGCACGCCCCGCTAGGGACCCCGACGAGTTCTGTGACATGTTGGCGCCGGGCGTTTCGCTGAGCTCGCAGCTGACAGAACATGATTGGTGCAACTGGTGTGGCGAGACTTTGCTTCGACCTCTCTTCGGTCCTTGCCAGGCACAAACACGGCTGGGCTGTGGACGCCGTCGTTCGCCAGCCTGTCTGCCTGTCCCTGGCTCCTCAACCCTAATCCGCCGACTTTTCTTCTCCTGCAGCCCGCTCTCATTCTGATCCATCTGACCTTCCCATTCCTTCAAATTCCCACCCTCCCTTTCTTCTGCGTGACCTTCACTGCAGCATCGCTCTCTGTCGCGGCCTGGTTGTTCGCTCCTTACGACAGCTGGACTCCCTTCCATTCTTTTCGGTACTCTTTTTCTTCACACCCTCCTTTGTCCTCGTACGGTTGCCAGTCAGCAGTACAAATTCATAACCTAGTTCATCCATTATTCTCCGTCGGACTTTCGTCAGCAGGCCGCTACGCCCCCCCCCC